TTTCAATTACATGCCTCTTGAACTTCAGATAGGTGCCACTTTTGAGCTATTTTAAGTAAAATATGAGCAATTTTCAGCCTCTCGTCGCCATCTTGAAAACATAGTTTCGTAAAACTATAAAAAAATTGTATTAAGCAAATAAAGTTGTTCAATCTCCACGAAAACGAGAGTATTAGTGTTAATCTTGCATGTGAACAGTAACTGCAGGGGATAAACGCACCACAACATTTTTAAAAAATCGATGAATTCTTGTAAAATTCCCCTAAAATTTCCGGTTTGAAAATACTCTTGCAAGGTCAAATTTCAACATGGGATATAACTCCTATAAAATAGAAAGTTGAAACGTTCTGAAAGAAGCTCGATTAATATTGACCAAAGTCTAGTTCATATGCAAAATATGAGCTAAATCTATTTTTCCTTCCCCAAACCAGTGGGTGGATTTTACTGAGAGGCCCTCTTAAAACAGTTGCACCATTCAAATCGCCAATGATTTCCTTGATCGTTGGGGTGATGTGGCGTTCACGCTGGACTGCTGTGTTTGCACGACGCATGTCAACGCATACGCGGACCTTTCCGGGTGAGTTGGGCTTCGGTGCCACAACAATGGGCGATACCCAGGGGGTTGGGCCCTCCACGCGTTCGATTACACCCAGTTTTTCGTCCTGACTCAGCTGTTCCTCAAGTTGTTTGCGCACATGGAACGGCACGCGTCGGTGTGGTTGGGCAACTGGTGGTACACCTTCATCAATATGAAGCTGAACCTGGTAATCTTTCAACTTGCCGAGTCCTTGGAACAAGTCCTGGTATTGGGTGGTGAGCTGTTCAACGGTGGGAATGTTTTGATGTGTAATGGGCTTTACGACTTTGAGTAGCTGCAGGTCGGTAGAAGTGCGCCAGCTAAGTAATGACCCACTGGTTCCTTTCACAACATAGAATGTCTCTGTGCGGTTGACTGTTTCCGATGCGACGATGGAGGTAAATTGCCCAAGGACGGGTAGGGGTGCCTCGGTCTGGTAAGGATAAACTTTGCTGCGTGTTTGCTCCAAACTCGGTCGTGGGGAGAGCTTGTTGTAATCTTGCTCATCCAGAATGTTGATACTGGAACCCGAGTCTGCCATTATGGTCAGCAGTATTCCCTCGATGGTGACGTCAAATAATGGGTGTTTGCTGCGATCCAAAGTCATGTTGTTGACGTTGATTCGGAACACTCAACTTCGTCGCTGTCATCGCTGTAGTCAGTTTCTTCGGCATTGTTCATCGCTCGGACGTCCTGTCGTTCGGCTCTTTGCGGGTAGCGTCGCTGACGTGGTATGGTGGGGGGTTTGAGCGTTGTCTGTCTTGGAGACATACAGACTGAAAGTGGTTAGGTTTTCCACAGGAGCAACATTCTTTTCCGTATGCTGGGCAAGCAGTTTTTCCGCCTTCATGCGGGTATGTGCCTCCACAATTACGACATTGCACCCTGGTGCCGGGGCTCCGGGGTTGGAAGCGTGCTTTGTTGTGGTTTTTGCTACTTCCGGTTGTGAAATGGCTGACGTTCGCTGTTCGTTCTAAGTTCGCTGCTTGCGAGTCGGCTAACTCCGCCGCTTTACCCATTTCTAGAAGTTTTGTCAGGGTTATAGTTGGATCGATTAAAGCTTTTCGTCGAAGTCGTTGCGAGCGGCCGTGTTGGATGATCTGAGATTTGATTTCGCGATCGGCATCGTGAAATTCACAGGTGAGTGAAAGTTGTTTGAGTCGTGTATAGTACGTCATAAGAGCTTCGTCGTGGGTTTGTTTGGCGTTGCGAAATTTATATTCTTCGAATACAGGGTTTTGCTTCGGTGTAAAGTATTCAGATAGTGCTTTAATTGTGACGTCTAGAACTGTTTCTCCTTCAGCCGGTGCACTGACTGTGAGTGTTTCAAAGATATCATTGACTTCTTCACCGATGTAGTGTAGTAAGAGCGCGTTTTGACGTTTGGGATCATCGATGTCTGTCAAATCTGACTATCAAATTTCGAAAACGAGAGATGTATTTCTTAAATCTTACGCCGGGTGCTCCCTGGTCCGCGTTGGGATCGAAGGAAGGGAATGTTGGCAGAGCTGTTGCCATGTTTTGTTGTGTTTTAGGCTGCTTTTGGCCGTTGAATCGAGAGTTTAAAGCGTTTTGTTTGCTTGCTTTCCCGCCACGTGTAAACGCCTAGCGTACGTTTTTTCGCCTTCGAACGGCTTGGTGTTTCTGAATATGAACACAAGAGTGCACTGATCTTTCTGACTTGAGTAAGATCTTGCGTTGGGTTGTTTTGTTGTTTGTGTTAATAGATCCTCGTCGCCATTGTAATATTCTCTTTGAACATCAATACAACTTTTATTCTCAAGTCTCCATGTTCTCTCCTCTCTACTTGTCACGTGTCCCACATGTGATAACATAGGATATTACACTTTGGTGTAAAACAGTTAATATTTTGTGTCCGAAATAATAATTTGAAATGTACCTACCTCCTGTAAATGGACGTATTTGGCCAAATTCGCCACTTCACTCCACTGTTTATCGCCGATATCGTTAAAATCTTTCCAAATATGTACGTCAGCTCAGACATAACAGTATCAAGCACATTTTAAACAAATTGTAACTTGGTTTCAAGTAGATCCTAGCTGTTTAACCATCGACAAGGTAAAACCTCAACTTTGTCCAAATTCGGCGCCATTTTGTCATCCTGTGTCGGTTGTCAACAATTCGTCCTTGTTATTCTTCTATCCAAGCCATTCGATTGCACTAATAACAAATTTAACCCTTTATTAAGGGTATCAAAATAAAAATATTAACAAAAGGTACGAAATGCAGCATTTTATCACCCTGTAAAATATTAATAGTTTAGACCGGTTCTCTGGTTTTTAAACATTTATTAAAACGAGGTTTCGACTGCCAGTCTGAAGTATTACACGGGCAAGTGATAATGAATTACATGGAAAAAACACTGGTTTACAATTACATACAAAAACAATTAAACAGTTCCGCTCCGCCTACATGATAAATATGATATTATAACAAGAAGAATAGATTAAACTGTTCAAGATCTTTTTAGAAGAAACCGGTATTGTTCAGGCAAATGTTTCGAGTTATTATCAGCATTAGTTGTAATCGCAGTGTGCCAACCTTTCGAGGGTTGATCTATGACGGTAGTTTCCTTTGTCAATAATTTTGGTGTTTTCAAAATCTATCTTATGATCATTTGTCCAAGCATGTTTAGCGATGTTAGACCCGTCCTTGAATTGCTTAACATTTCTTACATGTTCCTTTTTTCTGGTGTTGAAAAGTAGTTCCATGGGCAGTGCGAGCAACCAATTTGATATACAACATTAGTTTGGTTTTTGGGGGGTGGTCGGTCTTTTGGCGAAGGAAACATTTTTTCCAAGGTATACAAGGGTTTTGACGTGACTCGGATATCATATGGTTTCAGAAGTCTTTGAGAGGTTATGTGAGGCCTTTATATATACGGCAGAACAGCATAGCTACAGTTCGACTTCGATCGGCTCAACACATTAAAAAAACATTCTAACCAAATCTTCGGGTGGTGGTACGATCTCTTGTTTATTTGCTCTCTTGCGTTCAATTTCCTCTACGAACTTTTTGGGATATCCGTTAGAGATTAACGCGTTAGTTACATGTATCCGTTCTTGTTGTTTTCCTTGCTCAGTATTAGGTAATGTTGCTGCCCTGTGTAGTAGAGTTTGTGTAGTGCTAATTTTGTTGTTTGTCATGGTGTGAATTATAGTCTAAGTAGTAAGTGTCGTCCAGTGTGTGTAGGTTTGCGGTAAACGTCGATTGTAAGTGTTCCGTTATTGCGAAAAGGTGTCTAAAAAAGAGAGTTTCCCGTCATGTTCTTGTTCCACAGTAAAATTAATGTGTGGGTCAATTGAATTAAGTAAGTTGTAGAAATAAGTTAACGCATGTCTTTTGATAATTGAGAAAACATCATCAACATAGCGAAACCATTTTTTCGGTGGTAGAGTTGATTGGCTAAGGGCTAGATCCTCAATTTCCTCCATGCAAAGGTTTGCCACAATGGGGCTAACAGGACTACCCATAGCACAACCGTGAACTTGTCTGTACGTTTGTTTGTTATAAACAAAGTAACTATTTGAGAGTGTGAAGCGTAAAAGTTTGATGATGTCGTGAGTTTGTTGCGGATATGCTCACATGCTCTATCAACTGGTATAGCTGTGAATAAGGAAACCACGTCAAAAGAGATCATTAATAAACTATTAAGAGCGAGTCTCTACAAAAATCAAACATACCGCGGCAAGGCTCAAAATTTTAAATTCGCTCTACTTTTGAATTTAAGTTAACTATGACAAAGTATGAAACGTCATATGGTTAGTTTTTAAAAATACTCTTTTGTTTATGAAAAAAAGGCAAAAAAATATTTCAGCTGTGAGGACCGATTTTCGCAATCGAAAAATGGCCGAAATTGCGTATGTTTACTTAATCCTGGTATCCAAACCCTAAATCCAAATAGCCTTATTATACTTTCTGCTAAAGATACATCACTCCCTCGTTTATTAAAAGTGGTTTTATGATAACTGAACAACTGAACACATTTGTGCACAATAAAGAGCGACGGGTACTGATCTTTATTGTTTGTCATTGCATGTAAAAAGTGACAGATTTCTCCATTTGCCATCCTTTCAAATCTTATGAGATTTTGCACAAGCACTATTGGAAAACTGCTCTTTTCAGAAATGTATTATTTATTTTGGGCAAATAAATTCACGCGCTACGAGAAAGAGTTAACTTTGGTTCATTAAATATGCAAAAATCACTGTTTGGCGATTGCGTGACTAAAAACCTCTTGAAATAAACACGCTTAAAACATCATTGTTCTTCGCCTTTAGTTCAGAGAATTTGAAGAAAACATAAATATACATATACCTTGAATGCGAAAAGTTCCTTTGAGCTGTTCCACTTTTGGAGTTTATACCAGGAATTTAATATTGTCGACCGTTCGCTTGTTTACATCTCCGCCTTATACATCTACTCAAAGTTCTTGGAATACAATCTATCAGAAATCAGCTAACAATTCACACAACTTCCATTCGTGTTCCATTTACAATTATTAATATTCTTAGAAACAAAGAGTCAAAATTAATGTTGCAGAAATTCTATTTTATTTTTATACTGACATATCGAAAAAGCTAAATGTTTACATTATAAGTGGCGGGCTTCCTGTCGATTTGGCGGAAGTAATACCACTGCGATGTATTACTGTAATGTTGTCATTTCTTTTTTAATATTTTTTTTCTATTAAGTGGATTATTGCGAATTGAGGTTTTTTTTATTGCTGTAATTTACTTTTATTTACAATTATTAATATTCTTAGAAACAAACAGTCAAAGTTAATATTACAGAAATTCTATTTTATTTTTATGCTGACATATTGAAAAAGCTATTTGTCACCAAATGTTTACATTATAGGTGGCGGGCTTCCTGTCGATTTGGCGAAAGTAATGCCACTGTGATGCATTACTTGTATTTTTAATACTGTTTTTATGTGGATTATTGTCGAAAAAATGCGATCCGCACGCCGCTATGCTATTGTTATCATGATTAATGGACAACTTGCATGTTAGACAAAATTTTAATCTAAGCAGAGAAAAGGGAATCAGACACCACAGCTAAAAAGAACATATTGAAATTAGTAAAAGTGCAAAATTTGGTTGCGAAATGTTGTAAAGCTTGGAAAATATAGCCTTGCAAA